GGAAGAAACAGCAAAACAATGAAAATATAAGTGGAAGCAGTAGAAAAAGAATGAAAAATAAGTGGAAAAGGCAGTAAAACGACCAAAAGTAAATAAAGAAGCAGCAAAACAATGAAAATATAAGCTACTATGCTGAGTCATGCTTTCTCCAGGCTAACAGAGACCAGCTCCTCTGCTGAGTCATGCCAGCAGCACCATTCAGAAACACTCTGAATGACCAATGTTCACGGCAGATCATTTAAACTGTGTTCAGTTGGGTAGAAAATTGAAATGTTTAGACGTGGGGAGCAACAAACGGCCTCGGGCCTCTTGTTTTTATGTAAATGGGAATATTTCAAAAGTATTTTGGCCCATGAAGTATCAGACATTATCGGAAACAATCATCCAAACAATCATCCAAACCCCATTTGCTTCGGCGCTAAATCAGAAAAAGGCGCCAGCATGTGTCAGAAGCCAAAACAGAACCCGTTCGGATCAAAATTAAGAACTAAATCTCTCAGGCGTTTAGCAGCTTTCTGCTTCATCTGAGATTTCTTATCCATTAAGTCCGATTCATGAATGAAGAATCTATTAATAAAGCGATGAGTCAAGATGAAATAGAAAAATTATTTTAAAATGATCAAGCTTAAATTTATGTGATTTTGGCTGCATATTAAAGTTTCTTAACTCCTTTGAGTAATTTTGTCTCAATTATCTTTTATAGCATGTATAAAATAAATTAACCGTTGTCTTGAGTTTAGAAACTTAGAATTTCTACTCTCAGAGGTTATTATCATGCAGAAGTCGGCAGATGAACTTTAACCCATTAAAGCCTGATCCAAGAAAAATAGGAAGAATATTGTATTTTTTGTGTCTGAAGTCTTTTTTTGTCCCCTAAACAACATATGAAGAAAAAACATCTGATATTATTTTGATCCAATTAGCGTGCAATAAGTGAAAAATATATGTTGGTGTGGTCTTCTACTGGCTGTTATCAGGTATATCTGAATGTGTACAACAGGGGTTTGAGCAAAGCTTTTACCACTTAATGATGCAAAAAGTCTCAGATCCAGAAGACTTCAGAAACCGTGTGTATCAAATATGAAAAGTTTGGCATTATAGGGTTAACGTGAACCCGACAGGAGCCTTTTCCAACGTTACCGAGGGTCATGGAGGGATTTTAACTCATTGGCTGCCAAAGACGTCTATAGACGTCTTTGTTTTTTTAACGCGAGTGGCTTGGGGGACGATCTGCTAAAGCTTGTCCGTAAATATCAGGCTTCTAGACAGAGTATGTGGTAACAAATTGACCCTCTAGGGGGCAGTGCCACTTTTGATGGGAGATGAGCATAGACTGTAGGCAAATAAGAGAAACGTAACGGTTCGCTATGAGAGAACATGTCGCCGGTGAGACGCAAGTCCAGGAAGAACGGAATAAGGTAGAAACAAAAAATTTTTCCTGATGAAAGAAGAGAGTCTACTCTTTCTTTTGGTGTGTTCGGTGTTTACATAGTCATAGCACAAACTATTCTGTGGCTCTGGAAAAATCTGTCAAAATGCTCCAAAAACTCTGGCAGTATGGGACTCTCTGTTCTGAAAATGGCTGGCAGTCAATGAGTTAACTGGGATCCCAACCAGTGAAAAACTGGAAGAAGCTGGAATAGAAGCGGTTTCGGACCTTCTGGAGGAAGAGCACGATCCTCTGGACCATCTGGGCGCGCTGCTCCTCCAGGCTGAAGAGCGTGCGCGGCGTGCGGATGAAGACTTTGGTGTTCCCGTAGGCGGCGTCGTGGTGGAAGCGGCAGCCCTGCATCAGCTTCTTCACCGCGTCCCGGTCCGCCGGCAGGTCGTGGTTCGGCCAGGTGAACTCCGAGATCATCTTGTACCTG